TGAACAAGTATCGATGTATGTGCATCGCTTTGTGTATCGCTTTCCGATGTAAAAAAAAAAAGAAATCAATAAAACCTTACACATACACTCGCAAATCAATATCGGCGTAATAAACCCACGGTGACTGCGGCGGGATCAACCATCAAACTTCCTCGTTACTTCTTATCGCTGGAAGTCTTTCCCTGCGCCCCTGCCCTCTCCCCCTCCCCTGCCCTCTCTCCCCTCCCTCCCCTCTCTCCCCCTCCCTTCTTCCCCTCCCTCTCCTCCTCCCCCCTCTTCCCCTCCTTCCTCCTCCCCTCCCTTCCCCTCCCTCATTCCTCCATCTACCCCCTTCCCCTTCTTCTATGCGTTTAACTAGACGCGCGGAGTTTAAGCTCGGGCTACCTTAGGCGTACAGAAAACATCCTCTCACCCGGTTAATTATTTACTTAATAAGTCATTAAACTCGGAAAATAACGCCCAGCCTGACCCTGCCCCCCCCTCGGCCCCCCTACAACTCGATACTACCAACTCCGCTACGACCATAAACTAACCAACGACCTTCTATAAAGATAGAGAGGTAGGCAGCACGAAGAGGAATAGGTGGGAGGGGGAGGGGAGAAAAAGAGGATGAGTATGGTGGGGGGGAGTCAACATGAGGATAGCGCCCCCCTTTCCCTCCCCCCCACCCCCGGCCTCCCTAAACCTCCACACTCCCTCACAACCGGTTTTAGGGGAGGCGAAGAACCGGTTTTGCGGCGTTTCCATTAATGCTAGAGTAACCTGTAGCACTTGAGGAGTTGCATGCCATTCGGGGCTTTGCCGACGCTTGCTGTAGGTCGCTTGTGATCCGCTCGGGGTTCACGGAGTTCAAGACCTTCCTTCCCTCCCGCCGCCCTCTCCCTCTCTCTCCTCCGAAGTCGTTCGAGTGACACATGAAGTCCAGACGCCGGACTTACGGCTTCTCCTGCCCTGCCTTTCACCCGGCTGAATGAATGACAAGCCGGGAAAAAATGTTTATATATATATATCAGTCCCTGACGCACACGCACGCACACACGCGCGCGCGTGCACACACACACACACACACACACACACACACACACACACACACACACACACACACACACACACACACACACACAACACACACACACACAGCCTAGAAACCCTCACCCTCACTTTTGAGCCCCTCAGGCCGGCTCTAGAACCTCCAAGCCTGACCACAGCCTCGCCCCCCACAAGCCCGCCGCAGCCTGTCGTGCTTGGCCTGAAATATTCATAACAGTCATGAGGCGAGCGGCAAACACGGGCGCTCACTTACGGAAACAGGCCGCCCGAAGAGCCAGTGGGCGAGGGGGAAAAGGGAGAGTAAACAAAAATCAACTACAGAAAATAACCTAAAAATCGCGATCATTACGGCAGCAACCGCAGTCTAACACAGACGTCATCAGTCCCCATCCACAACCACAGCATCAGCCACAATCGCAATCACACCGACAATCAGGCCCCAGTTAATCACAACCACAACCATCACAGCCACCTCAATTACAACCACCACGACCACAACCTCAATCACAACCATCACAGCCACCTCAATTACAACAACCACGACCACAACCTCAGCCACAACCACCTCGGTCACAGCCTCAGCCGCAGCGATCGGGCTCCGAAGGAAGTGGCCAATGGCGGTGATCTAGAGAGAGTAGCTGCTTCTGGGAAGTGGCGGCGGCCGGGACACAAGGCGAGGCGTCACTGGGAATTCTCGCGGCTTACGGCTTGCGGAAAACAAAAACAGGCGCTTCTATGAATATGGTAATATAAAAATACGATATAAATGCGTACGTATAAATTAAATGATATATGAAAACGTAAATGAAATGTAAATACGAATGGAATAAAATATGAACGCAAATATAAACAGAATAACATGCGAGCGTAACTATAAATAAACAGAATAAAACCAATAGTGATGGAATAAAACAAATGTATTACAAAACAGCAACAAAAAGGCACAAAATCAATTGGAAGCTTAAAATGAAACGCGATTCGAGCACACAATGCCTCCGGAACCAAAATTCAAGCTTCGAAACAGTAAAAGCTTCGAAGAGAAAAGCTCGAACTGCTAGTGCGAGCGTGCAGTGGTTAAAAACGTGGAAATACTTATAAAAATGCAATATATAAACGCTGAATTATGGTGTTTTTTTGCAATTTCGTTTAGTTTATTATATCTTACAATTCATATTCTCTCACTACGAAGGCTAATCGTAAATGCTTCAATTAAATTCAAGAAGCAAGATAGCAGTAGCTCGGCCATACACAAGACTTGACAAAACGAAGCAACTCTGGCCATTAGCAATATTTTCTCTTTATTCCCACCACGCCCCTTCTATTCCCACCCTCTCTCTCTGTGAGCTTTTCATCAAATTAAATTCCCTATATTTACGCCAGGCATAACCTCTGAATCCCTCGGAAAAAAATAAAACGGAAAAAATAATTAATGAAATCACCCGCCTACAAAACGCATTAACCGAAACAATCGGACGTTAGGTTAACATGCACGTGCACCCACACGCGCGAACACACTGCTGACTCGCGCACACGCACACACACTCACACGTACGCGTACATACACGGTTACACATAGAGACATACATACGCATAGACTTACACATGCACACACACACACACAAACACACACACACACACACACACACACACACACACACACACACACACACACACACACACACACACACACACACACAGGGAAACTGACACACATGAAACAAGAGACCAGCGCATAAATAACGTCCAGGAGGCCAATGAAAAGGGAATTAAAACAAAATGAAAACAAAATAAAAAGCCCCCGCCCCCCTCCCGCCCTAAACCCACCCAAATCGCCCGGTCATCACAAATCATTACGAGGGAATTAAACGCCATTAATATCCACGACAGCCCGCGCCCATCCGCCTAAGCGCCACCCGCGACACTCCGCCGGGGGCGCACCGTGGGAAGGCCCAGCTGACGAAGGAGGCGCGAGTGAGGGGCTTCGCGGATGCGGGGGGGAGGGGGATGGAGGGAGTCGAATGGGCCTGTGAGGAGTGAAGGAGGGATGGGAAGGCGGCGAAGAGGATTCACAACTGCTGCGAATCGGGAGAGGAGAAAGAGAGAGGAAGGGAGGGAGGGAAGGAACGAGAGAGCGAGAGAGGGAGGGGGGGGGGAGGGAGAAATAATGAGAGAGCGAGAGAGGGGAGGGAAAGGGAGAGAGAGAGGAAGGAAGGAAAGAACGAGAGGGGAGGGAGGAAGAGGAAGAGGGAGAGGGTGAGAGAGAGACAGAAAGAGGGAGGGGAGGGAGGAAGGGAGAGAGAGCGGGGGGATGGGGGAAGAAGAGGGGTGTGTTGTAATAACATAGTCTGGAAATGACCGAAAAACGGAGAAGTCCGCTCTGCAATCGAGGTCCCTCTTGTCACGATGCCCTTTCATAATCCTCTTCCCTGGATGAGTTGACAAATCGCACGCAGAGACCTTATCTACGGGCTGCCTTCCCTCCCCGCCCCCCACTTCTCTTCCCCTTCCGCGAACTAGTTGTGTGGTTTCCTGCCCCATCATTTCAATAATCTAAACACGTTTTATTGTCTGCGGCACGAAGACTTCCAGCGAAAATACCCAATTAAAACTCGTTTCCCTCCACCTGGCGGTCTGGATCTCTACAGCCAACCTCTTTTCACTCGAGATTCCACACAGCACCACGCACACGCGCGATTACACACACACACACATACACATTATACATAGATACACACATATATATGTATATATATAAATACCGTATCTTGTCTGTATAAGTGTTGTGATGCATATCTTGCGGTGTTTTGCATGTGCAATCTCCCGCCCTTGATCGCCGTCCACTGTTTCCTCGTCACCCTCCACCCCCTCCCTCCCTTTATCCCCTCCCCCCCCGGCAACAGTCCAGCTCTGTGTTGCCTCCTTCCTGTCCTCCGTGAGGTCCACAAGATAACCCGCCGGGATGACTCACGCAGCTCCAGCACAAGGGCGGCCCTCACGCCCTGGGTCACACCCCTCCCGAGGACCGGCTGATCACCGAGACACAAAGGGCTTCCTCATCGCTGCACCCAGGCGGCGCCCAGAGTACTTCAAGGGCGGGAGGGGGTGGGCGTCTCAAGGAGCCCGTGCGCAGGTGTGCTTGCTCGAGCAACAATGGCTTGATGTGAGTGCCAAACAGACTTCGAGCAAGGCCGCTGCTGTCCGCGGCGAGGGTGGGGGGGTGCCAGGGGGGAGGGGCCGCCCGCTGCAGGTGTTCTCTAATCAGATTCGGTAATGACAACATTCTCAAGAAGAGCGTAACGGTTCATTGCGTAAGGCATCCAACCCGCCGACCCCACCAGCTCGGCGTTTACTCTGAGTCACCGCCACACCACCCGCACACTGGTCAAGCTCTCCTCTCGGCCGATGAAGGATGTGCGCCTACACATATGTTCGTAAACCCTGTTTCTCCATGTTCCTTCCTCCCTATTCCTTCTCTATAGATTTATGCCTGCGAGTGTAGGCGTATGCGTGCAGCGTGCTTGGGGTGTTGCGAATATACAAGAGTTTTCGTGTTTGCACAGAGTAAATGTTTGTCCGCAAGTGAATGTGTGTGTACGCTTGTATTTCTAATTTGATTCATGGTAGCAGTCGCAAAAAGGAAATTAACCTTGCCGTCTCTATCTCTTTCTCCTCTCACTACTCTATCTTATCTGCCTTGGTTAAACATCAGCTTGCGTGGTTGTGAAAAGAGGCAGTGAACCGTAATCGCTGGGCCCGTACTGAGCGCTCTTTAGTCGAAAGCGCTCTTTAGGACCGCGAATGATTAACAAGGACGCTGTAAATCTATGCTTAATTGTTCTGTGATGCTCAGCACCGGTCTTCGCAAAACACTTGGGTCTGGGAACTACTTAACATCAATAGAAAACGAGGCGACGGCTTCCACTACAACTAAACGAGGCTTCGGTACTTACCCGCTTCTCGGTGAGTTTGTCGCATCGTCGCATCTTGCAGATCTGGTGGGATTTGTCGTTCCTGCAGGGGGCGCAGTCGCCGCAGTTGTCCTTCCGCTGGCAGCCTACGCAGTCGCCGCATCGTTTCCGCTTTTTCTTCACGGGTTTTTCTGGCGGATCGTCCTGCGGCGGAGGCGGCTGCTGGGGTGGCGGGGGGCGGAATCCCCCTTCGGAGCACGGCACGGAGGCGGAGGCACCCATGCCGGCGGGGGTGTTGGAGGCATCGGAGTTGTTGACGGCGGTGGAGGACACGCTGGACACCTGGCCGCTGTTCTCCGTGCCCGAGACGGACGCGTCGCTTTCCGAGCTCTCGAGGGACCCCGCGCGACCCGCCCGCTTCACGCCCACGCGGACGGACCCCTCGAGCCGCAGCAACGACGGGCTGTTGTCATAGGATCCGGACTGCTGCCCCTGCTGCTGCTGGGGGCCGCTGTTGTTGTTATTACTGTTGTTACTGCTACTGCTGCCACTGCTACAGCTGCTGCCGCTTCCACCGGAGCCCGTGGGCGGCTGTGTATTGGGGGAAGCCTGTGCGGGCGTGGTGGAGGAGGGCGCAGGGTCGCTGCCCTGCGGGGACTCGAACATGCGGATGTGGCGCTCGTCCATCATCTGCTGCTGGATGGTGGGGATCTCGCGGGCCTGCACGGGCGCCGGCACCAGCGGGTAGCGCGAGTGCGGCGACGGCAGCGTGTTGAAGGAGGGCAGCGGCGAGGGCGTGGTGCTGCCCACGCTGCGGTCCGGGCTGAAGGCAGCGAAGGGCGGCAGCTTGTGTGGCACAGGATGCTGAGGCGGCACGTGGTGGGCAGGGGGTCCCGCCCCGAAGGAGTCGCTGTACGTGGGCATCGTGTGGCCATAGTGGGACATCTGGTTCGACGCCGTCGGAACCGCAGGCGTATGAGTGAGAACCTGGATGGGCGCCGACGAGACCGCCAGCGGGTGCAGTCTATGGTCGGGTTGGCGGTGGTCCGCCGGGTGGTCCGCCTCCCAGGGGCGGTAGGCGCTGTTTCCGTCGGCGCCGACGATGCGCGAGGACAGCGTGTCGGAGTAGCCGTCCCCGAAGAGCAGGTTGTGGGTGTCCAGCAGACGACCCGTTAAGCCCTCGCCCAGCTCCATCGTCTCCGGCAGACAGTTGTACGGCTGGAATGGGCGGGCGCTGTGGTGGTGGTGGTGGTGGTGGTGGTGGGCGGAGTGGGCGGCCTCGGTGTGGGCGTGGCTCACCCCTGGCACCGAGCTCATGCCAACACGAACACTACATCTGCAACGAAGAAAAATAAGTCATTAGAAAAGGGGCCGAAGGGGCAGCAAGGTACAGCGGCGGAAATCATCGCTCACGAAACGAGGGGACGACGCCGTCCTCGCCGCGCCGGCGCGAAATGGGGAGGCATTGCGACTTGGTAAAGGTAATTGGGCATTTTAAGTGGGGAGGGCGAGGACGGCGAGCGCGAGGAGAGCGAGGGGTGATAAAGAAGGGGCAAGAAAGAAACGCAAAAAATGGAAAGCAATGGATATAAAGGGAGACACAAGGAAACAAGGTCGACGCGAGAATCGGGCTGCAAAACCATCTTAGTCATGCGATATGAAGAACTGGAAATCCCACAGTAAGATGAAATGCAAGAGCAAGGATTACATCAGATACTCGAGTTTCCAATTACTCTCGCGAGCACACGCGCGCGCGACACACACACACACACACATACGCACACACACACACGCACACACACACACACACACACACACACACACACTCCCCCCACCCTGCTATACTTCACAAGCTAGCCTAAACAAGTCTCCCGGCCGCGGCCGCTGCACTGATACGCACTACACATAAATTACTTGAACCTGCGCCACCATCCCTATGTACACAATCACCAATTTCCGGCAGATAAGAGGCGAGCCAGTGGCGCTCGTATGCTGCAGTCACTTATGCAGCTGATGGCGAGTACTACTAAAATATATGTAGAGTAAAAACGCACGCAAACACGTATCAGCAGCTACAGCGCGCAAACGCACACGCGCACGAACGCCGTTCTTCGCCGGGTCGTGGGGAAAGCCTGATACTCAGCGTGGAAAAGGGCCGACCGCCGCTACTGCGAAATCAATGCCGATGGCAAATTTCGCCGCCGCTAATCCGGTGGGGTGACGGATGCCATACATTAAAGGGCGGCGAGCGATATCACAGCACAGAGGCTGCATCGGAGATAAGAGCACTTTGACGCAGGGAAGTGCCTAACAGTCCCTAACACGCTGTTTGTTGGGGTTTGTAGTAAGACGCAAGATTTTTTTCCCCTGCAAAGCGCAGTCTTGCAATGGAAGGCTTAGCAAATAGAGGAGACCTGCGCCGAAAAAGTAATCTGGCCCAATTCATCGTCGGTTGGCATTCCCAGGAAAAGAGCGAAGCCCGTCTCGCATATCGCGCCGTCCGAACCGCCGCTGCCTTCCAGGAAATGAGCAGCCATGAAGATCATCATCTGCATAACACAGCTCCGCGCGTCGCCCGCCTTGCCACATGCAACACACTCGCCGAGGCTGTCGCTTGAACGTCACGTTACATCAACTCGGAACAATTTCCTGTTTAAAACCTGAGGCTCACTTCAGTTCCATCACTGTCTGCGGTTCAAGTACTTGAGGCGACGAGGTTCTCATCCGTGGTCGGCCATGGACACTTCTCGGCCTCTGAAGAATTCTAATTTGATAATTAAGATCTCTCGTCACCCAAGAAGAAATAAGGAAACTATATGATCTGCAATAAGCACAGCCACATCGCTGCTTCATCCACTGTTAGGCGGCTGCTCATTCAGCTCTAGTCGCAGGGACGCCGGCTTTCGAGGATATTGTGATTTTAGGTTCTGGTAGTTTGTTGTAGCTATTCAACAAATTGGACACAAGAAAGAAAGAGACAGACAGACAGACAGACAGCAACGCAAAGATATAGATGTAGAGGTGAAAACCCACGCACAAGCACGCGCGCTAACACACACTCACACACACACACTCCCAATGAGCCGGAGGCCCAGGCCGCGCCGCCCTGGCCGGCCTACAAGAAACGAGGCTGCAAATACCTATCGAACAGGGACCGCATCTTGGCGGGGCTGCGGATGGAGCGCGGACAGTTGTGAGACAGGAGTGACAGATGACACTCTCCTGGCGGTGCAGGAGGGGCCGACCAGGGCCACATAAACTTCCTGCGCGAGGAGTGCCACCTGTTGATCCTTCAGGCACCCCCGCGGCCCTCTCCTCTCTTCTCCTTTCCTCTCTACCCCCACGGCGGGAGCTCTGGATCCTTCACACTCTCTTTTATTTTTCTCTCTCCGCACTAGTAGGCCAGGTCTTGACTGTGCCACGGGTGCCACTAGCAGAGGCTAACGGTCGTCGCGGCAGTGAGGTTGCTGTCCTCTCGCCCTCTCGACAATTCAGCTTATCAAAGGCACTCAGTGTATCACTTCACTTAGGGAGATTGTGTGTGTTAAGCCAAAAAATATTTTCTTCCTTATCTTCGTGAAAAAATAGTTGTGAATCTGCGGTCGAAGAGTGTCATCCACAGATTTTCCAAGACGTGGATCCCGATACTTCAAGAAAAATATAGCGAGGACGCGGGCATCCGTGCCTCTTCTCATATCACTTCTCGATCACAGGCCGTAAAGGAAGCTAAAGAACGAAGTTTAAAACATGTTACTCTTCCTCCTCTCTCTGTCTCCCTTTCCTTTCCATTCTTAAAATTAGATTATCGCACAACCGAAAAAGCGAACGGAAAGCACGGCCGATCGCCACACCAAAACAAAACCGGTCGACACTACGCCTTGAAACAGACGGTTATGGCAGCCACCGTTAATAGTGACGTTGGTTTCAGTTCGCGGCTGCCATTCACAGAGCGACGGCGGCGGCGGGAGGCGTGAGCGGGGAGAGGCGAGGGAGAGCGTCGACTACGGGAGCGAGCGAGTCAGCGAGTGAGTGAGTGAGTGAGAGTGAGAGGCCCTGGGCCGCGGGTGCTGGTGGTGGAGTGTGGCGGCGGCGGCGGTGAGAGTTGGGCTGGCCCCGTCTGGATGAGGGGAGACCCACAGCAAGACTGGCCGCTGGTGGGGAGACAGAGGGGAGATGGGAAGAGGGGAAGTGGGTGGACGCTGCTAGACTTCTCAGACTGCACGGCGCCTTGAGTGAGAGAGGGAGAGGGAGAGGGAGAGGAGAGGGTGGAAGGGAGGAGGGGGATGTGTATTTCAGGGGATGAGACATCAAAGACGGAAAGACACATATACTTACATTCTATACAGAGGCACACAAGAGTTCAAGAAGTGTGTATGCGTGTGTGTGGGGAGGAGGGAGGAGGGAGGGAGGAGAGAAGAGAGGAGAGAGAGAGGGAGAGAGAGAGAGAAGAGAGAGAAGAGAGAGAGGAGAGAGAGAGAGAGAGAGAGAGAGAGAGAAGAGAGAGAGAGAGAGAGAGAGAGAGAGAGAGAGAGAGAGAGAGAGAGAGAGAGAGAGAGAGAGAGAGAGAGGAGAGAGAGAGAGAGAGAGAGAGAGATGAGTGAGTGAGTGACGTGAAATTATAAAAGTGAAAATAACTAAAGAACGAAGAGGGGAGAGGTAAACAAACAGGCAAAAGAATGAGAGCCTTTGATCTTCCCTCCCGCGGTTGATTCACTAAGAATCCGACAAGACGCCAGCCAAGACCTCCGGAAAGAGAGAGAAGGGGTCGCGCGGCGGAGGAAGGTGCACGTGTGTGAATGAGAGGGAGGGAGGGAGGGAGGGGAGGAGGGAGGGAGAGAGAGAGAGAGAGAGAGAGAGAGAGAGAGAGAGAGAGAGAGAGAGAGAGAGAGAGAGAGAGAGAGAGAGAGAGAGAGAGAGAGAGAGAGAGAGAGAGAGAGAGAGAGAGAGAGAGAGAGAGAGAGACAGAGAGAGAGAGAGAGAGAGAGGAGAGAGAGAGAGAGAGAGAGAGAGAGAGAGAGAGGAGAGAGAGAGAGAGAGACAGAGAGAGAGCAAGCAATTGAGAGAGTGAGTTGCGTGCGTCGTGTGTGGTGTGGTGTGTGTGTGTGTGTGTGTGTGTGTGTGTGTGTGTGTGTGTGTGTGTGTGTGTGTGTGTGTGTTGTGTGTGTGTGCGTGTGTGTGCCTATGTGTGTGTGTTAGCAGTTCGTGCGCGCGCGTTTGTAAATATATATGAGTGCGTGTGCAATCACATACATACAAACATAAATACATACTTACACATAT